GGGGCTCTGAACTTACCTGGCTGCTTGCTCTGACTGAGGGCTGCTGGGAGCAGGGGGTGGGGCTTGTTGCATGTGCCTGCCCCCTGGGCTCTTTACTGCCGGAGCTCCTCTCCTGCACGCTCCTGCAGGAAATGACCCCCGCAGCCCCCAAAATGTCTGTAAAAGAAGACCTCAGATCTGAAACAGACCACAAAAGAGTTTAAAAGATAAAAGCCCTTAGTTAAAAGCCCATATTAAAAGTTCCCGCTGTTTTGCTGTCAAGGTGATACCGCAGAGTGGGATTCTTAAAATTTCATTCCCCTTTGTTTTACATTTGACCCACAGAGCAGACGAAGGAGCCAAAACGAAGCTGATTTCATTTTTCTCGACGAGGAACAGAACTCGCGCTGGCGCTGAGACAGGTATGGCGCGTGGGGGAGTGAGAAGCTGGGAGGGAGCAGATGGATAAGGGAGGGCAGCTGTTTATACAAAGCCAGGATTAGAAGTTTAATTATTTCACTTTTCAGTTCTGGATGACTCCCACTCGCCACTATAAAACAGCAGAAAGCCAGCGCTAGCAGCTCACTTTGCATGCAGAAGGTCCTGGGTTCCATCTCCCTTACCTCCAGGTAAAGGACCTCAACAACAGCAGCTACACGATCCATGGCAAGACTCTGGGCTCAACTGGACAATCCATGTCACATGAGTTCGGGTCTCCCCCCGCCTGTCCTGTCACATGTAACAGCAGGGGACTAACGTGTCGAAGTGCTGCAGGGCCAGTTTTGGCCTGTGAGTGTGGCCTGGGGAAAGGGGAACTTCAGCCTCTCCCCCACCCCCAATTTTCCCAATGCTTAATGTGTTCCCCCTGGACACGGCTACATCTGCACTGGAGAAGATAAAGGAGTATGACCTATCTACCAAATGTGTCTGGGTGTGTAGAGTACTGGGAACAGGACACTTGGGTAGTTGGGTAACGAACACAGGAAGCTGGACTGTGAACACAAGAAGTCAGACCCTTGATCTGTCATCATCGGTTCTACTGGCAGTCGCTTTCCGGGATCTCACGTAGAGGCGTTTCACCAGGGATTGGACCTGGGACCTTCTGCATGCAAAACAGACACTCCACCAATGAGCTGTGGCCCCTCCCCCTACACCCGCCTCCTATGTCCCTGTTATAGGATGAAACTGCTGTTTGTTTCCACGTTTTTTTTTAACTCAGTATCAAAATTAAGGGGAACACGCCCTGATCTGGATAGCTCAGGCAAGCCAGATCTCGGAAACTAAGCAGGGCCAACTCTGGCAAGTACTTGGATGGGAGGCCTCCTTCGAACACCAGCAGTCAGGAGGCGGGGGCAGGCTTGATTCAGCCACCTCTTTGAATATCCTCCAGGCCCCCAGTAGGGGTCAGTCACCAGAGGTTGCCATGACTTCAGGTGCACACAGTCACCAGAGGTTGCCATGACTTCCAGGTTCGCCCGTGCGCACACACACACATGAAAAATACAAAAATAAATAAATAAGGGAAACACAGCCTGGTTTTCTTGACTGGCTTAAAAACCACCACTTCCGTGCCTTTTTTAGCACTTTATGCACCTTGAATGCACTCGAGTGCATCTCGATTGCGCTCGAATGTGTGCCGTTGGTTTCAGGGAATGTGTGGATGACTCTCCAAGGGTTTTTAATGAGTTCTTAACGAGGACCTCAGAAACTATCGCAGGAGCTAGGATGCAACATGACTATGCGCAGTAATTGTGGCAGAGATTTCTTCTGTCGTTGAGCAGATGGATACTCCCAGGAAGCACAGTGTGCAGTTAAAAATTACGTGTTTCCTGACAGCAAAATAATGCTTAGGCCTAAGAGTAGGCTGCAAGCATTGTGTGATTTGTTACACCAGGGCACCGTGATCTTTTTTCATTTGCTTGTTGTTCGCCCCTCTACCAGGTTCTACCTTGGAGTTTCCTGAATACCTCTGCGAGTCTCTAGAAGTCCTCTGTCTGAATGACAACCACCTAGATGCCGTCCCCCAGTCGGTCTGCTTCCTCAAAGGGCTTTCTGAGCTTTACTTAGGCAAGTAAGTGAAGGAGAAACCTCCAGAAATCCAGCACAACCTGAAATGTTGCTAGTCTCCTCAAAACTACTTTTTTTTTTTTTTTTTATCCCCCCCCCCCCATGGCCAGGGCAGGCTCAGGGGCAGCTGACATATATGCAAAAATTAAAAACAGCAATATAATAAAAGCATTAAATCTTAAAACAGCAACCTAAGGTGCTGATAACAATTTCAGTAACAATGGCGAAGGCAAAGTAGTATTAACACACTAGTAAATGCAGTCGGTATTAGATTTTAGTGTCGGCGAAACTCAGGCTGTCAGTGATGGTATTGGGCCCAGGGCCTTGCTGTATTAGGTGTGGCACTAGGGTTGCCAGCCTTCTCCACCAATGAGCTGTGGCCCCTCCCCCCACACCCGCCTCCTATGTCCCTGTTATAAGATGAAACCGCTGTTTCTTTCCACGTTTTTTTAAAACTCAGTATCAAAATGAAGGGGAACACGCCCTGACCTGGATAGCCCAGGCAAGCCAGATCTCGGAAGCTAAGCAGGGCAAGTACTTGGATGGGAGACCTCCTTGGAATACCAGCAGTCGGGAGGCAGGGGCAGGCTTTATTCAGCCACCTCCCTGAGTATCCTCCAGGTCCCCAGTAGGGGGTCAGTCACCAGGGGTTGCCATGACGTCCAGGTTTGTGCGTGCACACACACACACACACACGAAAAATAGAAAAAAAATAAAAATAAGGGAAACACAGCCTGGTTTTCTTGACTGGCTTAAAAACTACCACTGCCATGCACTTCAGTGCCTTTTTTAGCACTTTATGCACCTTGAATACACTCAAATGTGTGTCGGTGGTTTCGGGGAATGTGTGGATGACTCTCCAAGGGTTTTTAATGAGTTCTTAACGAGGACCTCAGAGGCATTGTCATGCGCAGTGGTGTGAAGCTGGGCTCTTGTTGAGCAAACTATCACAGGAGCTAGGATGCAACGTGACCATGCGCAGTAATTGTGGCAGAGATTTCTTCTGTCGTTGAGCAGATGGATACTCCCAGGAAGCACAGTGTGCAGTTAAAAATTACGTGTTTCCTGACAGCAAAATAATGCTTAGGCCTAAGAGTAGGCTGCAAGCATTGTGTGATTAAACTTTTTTTTTTTTTTTTTATCCCCCCCCCCCCATGGCCAGGGCAGGCTCAGGGGCAGCTGACATATATGCAAAAATTAAAAACAGCAATATAATAAAAGCATTAAATCTTAAAACAGCAACCTAAGGTGCTGATAACAATTTCAGTAACAATGGCGAAGGCAAAGTAGCATTAACACACTAGTAAATGCAATCGGTATTAGATTTTAGTGTCGGCGGAACTCAGGCTGTCAGTGATGGTATTGGGCCCAGGGCCTTGCTGTATTAGGTGTGGCACTAGGGTTGCCAGCCTACAAGTGGGGCCTGGGGATCTCTTGCTTTTACAACTGATCTCCAGCTGACAGAGATCAGCTCCCCTGGAGAAAATGGCTGCTTTGAAGGGTGGACTCTATGGCATTGTACCATGCTGAGGCCCCTCCCCTCCCCAAACCCTGCCCTCTCCTGGATCCACCCCCCAAAGTCTCCAGGTATTTTCCAACCCAGACCTGGCAACCCTATGTGGCACCTTAATTAAAGGCCTGCGGAACTGTAGAAGGTCCCGCAGGGCCCTAAGGTCTTCCAGGAGCTCATTCCACCAGCGCGGAGCCGCTACTGAAAAGGCCCTAGCTCTAGTTGATGCCAGCCTGACGTCTTTAGGGCCCGGAAGGGCCAGACGGTTGTGGGATCCTGACCATGGTGCTCTCTGGGGAGCATGAGGGAAAGGCGGTCCCTCAGGTAGGTAGGCCCCTGACCATAAAGGACTTTAAAGGGAAGTGCCAGCACTTTGAAACGAATCCAGTATGCTATAGGCAGTCAGTGCAGTGCTTTTAGCGCAGGCTGAATGCGCTCCCGCATAGGGAGCTGTTTTCTGCACTAGCTGAAGCCTCCAGATTTGGGTCAAAGGCAGCCCCATGTAGAGAGTGTCACAGTAATCTAACCTCGAGGTGACCATTTCGTCACTGTCGCCGAGTCGTTGCGTTCAAGGAAGGGAACCAACTGCCTGATCAGCCGAAGGTGATAAAAGGCTGACTAGGCAGTGGCTGCTACCTGGGCCTCCATCGTTAAGCAAGCATCCAGGAGCACTCCCAAGCTCCTAACCTCTGACGCCGGCACCAACGGTACACCATCAGAAGTCAGGAGTGGGATCCCTCGCCCCGGGCCACCCCGACTCAGGCACAGGACCTCCGTAATCGTCGCATTCAACTTCAATCGGCTCAGTCTAAGCCAACCAGCCACGGCCGGCAACGCCAGGTCCAGATCTCCCAGGCTAGAGTCAGACTGACCGTTCAATGGCAGATAGAGCTGGGTGTCATCTGCATACTGGTGACATCCCAGCCCAGGCCTCCTGGCAATCTGGGTATTGTGTAGTGGGTTGCCGCATGGAGAAACGACAGACGACGACGTAGTGCATAGCACGCTTTATTAGGTACACAACAAGACGGGGGACAAACGGCCCGGGGGCCAACTATATACATCCCTGGGGACACACCCCTGGTCACCATTGGTGGGTTTGAATCTCCCGCCACGGATCCCATTGGCTCCCCAGTGGAGGGACTAGGAGCCTAGTCCCTATTGTTGTTCCAGAGTCAAGCTCTGGCAGCTCTGGCTGACCGCTGGCCCCCGGTGGCGGTCAGCATACACAACACTGGGCAAGGGGGCGCATACAGATGTTTGTTTCAGCAGAAATTATTGGGATCGTTTTGCTACAGAGTTATATGTTTCGGCTGGCAATTAGGGGAAGAGACTGTCTCTGTGGCAGAGGGCATAGTTGGCATGGAGAAGAGTCCAGTTCAATCCGTGGCACACGGACGCACGAAGCTGCCTTATTACTGAATCAGACCCTCAGTCCATCAAAATCAGTAGTGTGCTGCATGACGGAGTGAGCTCCCGTCTCTAGTTCCAGCTCCTGCCAACCTAGCAGTTCGAAAGCAAGACATTGCAAGTAGATAAACAGGTACCACTACGGTGGGAAGATAACAGCGTTCCGTGCGCCTTGGTGTTTAGTCATGCCGGCCACATGACCACGGAAATGTCTTCGGACAGCGCTGGCTCTTCGGCTTGGAAACGGAGATGAGCACTGCAACCCTAGAGTCGGATTCGACTGGCTTCCAAGCAAGGGAACCTTTACCTTTACTCAGACTGGCAGCAGCTCTCCAGGGTCTCAGGTGGACATTTTTCACTTCATTTCCTACCTGATTCTTTTAACTGGAGATGCTGGGCCTTGAACCCGGGACCTTCTGCATACCAAGCAGATGCTCTGCCTCTGAGCTACGGCCTCTCCAGGTAAAGGGACGTTTCAGGCGGCAGGTGCCTGGCAAGATCCTTGCTGGGCCTGAACGCCGTGGCCAGATGGAGTGCTGAGCGAGAGACCAACAGCCTGATGTACTATCAGGCAGGTTCGGATGGCGCTCCTTATCCCAGGCTGGCTCAGGCTTGCTGTACACGCAGAGCTCTTTTCCCCAGGACAGGGTTGGTGTGATTGCTGCTGTAGCACCCGTGCCTACAGAAATGGTTTCTGAAAAGTACGCAGACGGAGAGTGATTTCCGCAAAGCGTACCTTATTCAATCAGGAACAAGACGACTTTGGCCGGCTCGCAGGCCGGCTTATATTCCCTCAGAACCCACCACCCAAAACACACACCCCACTTCCCGATAGGTTATTTACAGTGGCCGAGAGTCCCATTGGCTTCTCGGCCAGGAACCTAGCCCTCTGGTTGGGGCGGGCTAGGATCCACCTGGTCCATTGTCTCTAGGAGCGAAGCTTGAGGTTTGTCTCTGGACAAGTCTGGACATGTCCGGACTTGTCAGGACTTGATACACTACAGTTTCCCCACAAAGACCAAGTAGGCAAGTGAAGACTCCCCACCCCTCAAGAAATCTCCCTAGCCTTTATCGTCGTTCTTATGTTTCTGTCAGAATATCTTGAGGCTTAGTCCAAGCCAGAAATATCCTTGCAGGGTGGAAGGAAGAGGAAGTGTGGTGGGTATCGTGGAGGGTGCATTCCTCCACCGTAGTCTGTCACCATTTCTAAACAAAGCAAGTCCCAGCAGGTGGCTTGGATGGCCCTTTGGCAGAGGAGGTTGGTCTAGGTTTGCTTGGTGGTTCCGCGTGGTCAAAATTTAACATCTTGACTGTTAAATGTAAAGTGTATTGAACGATGTTGTTGCAAACCGCCCTGAGCCCCGCGTAAGCGGGGAAGGGCAGTCAAGAAATCTAATGACATAAAGAAATAATAAGTAGTAGTTTTGTTACTGTCTCTTTGGGCTCTGGCGGTTAGGATGGCTATCAGTTATTAAGATGTGAAAAAAGGGAGGAAGTGGAAGGTTGCAACAGCTAGTTAAGTTATAAATTTATAAAAGACGACCCTGGTTAAAGTAGCTGGGGGGTAAACAAGGAAAATAAGGAAATTAACAAAAATTGAGAAAACCAAGCATATAAACAAATAAAAATGAATTAAAATAGGATAAAATAAGGGAAAAAAAAGATAGTGCTGTTGTAACATATAGAAAGTGTTTTAGCATTGCTTGTTGAGAGAGTAAAGTTGATAAGGAGAGACGGTCGGTTATACATCAGGTTATGGATTTAAAGCGACTATTAATGGATGGATGTAGTTACTATGTGAGGGCAGACTACTGGGTGAACGAGATGAGAGAGGAAAGTAAATAATGATAATTGTTGGTGTTGCTGCTGTATAGTTTATTTGTTGTATTGGGTGTAAATGGGAAGAGATGAATAATGATTAATTTACTATCGATGTGTGCATTACAGTGAAAATTCAATAAAAATATACTAAAAAAAAAAAGAAATAATAAGTTTTCTCTAGAAAAACAGGGGAAAGGCCAAAGCAGTTGAAGAGATATTCCTCGGAGTTTTGTTTAGAGGGAGTTTGGTGCCAGCTCTCCCCATCTCAGAAAGGCCATTGATGAGAGGGGTGTGTTTTATTTTTGTTTTATTTTTTTGCATAGTAACCGAGGCATCCAAGAGCTCCCTCCTGAACTCGGACAACTGTCTAATCTTTGGCAGCTGGATATCGAGGAGCTAACGATTGCCAACCTGCCGGCTGAGATCAGAAAGGAAGGTGAGCCTGCCTGTCCCCCGTGCGGTTTGAGCAGGGACGGAATCCAAACCCAAGTTTGTGGTGTGCTGGTTAGCATGCCTGCCTCGGATCTGGGAGACCCAGGTTCAAATCCTCACTCATGCCATGGAAGCTCACTGGGTGACCTTGGGCTGGCCATGTCCTCTCAGTCTAACCTACCTCCTAGGGTCGTTGTGAGGACAGAAGGGAGGAGAGGAGAACGATGTACTCCACTTTCCAGATTACCAAAATAATCTATCACCACACTCCGCAGTTTCATTAGGGCTT